CACTGTTCCCTTGGGAAAAGGACATCTAAAAAACACCATCAAACAGTAACAGTAAATATTAAATAGTTATTTTATAGAACATTAAAATTAGATAATAAATAACCTGTACTGAATGAATTAAGGTGTTTTTAATGCATACTGACAGTTATTATTATTGTTATTATTACTATTGATTTATTTATTTAAAATTAAAATATGTAAAGGTTTAGCAGGTTTGCTGATACGTCACACGTCTTAGATTCATAATTTCAGTCAAACTATCAGTAATCAAACTACTGTACTGGTAATCAAACTTCTGTAATAAAACATGTAATAAATAAATGTTATGTTTTATTTATAATATTTATTAGTACATAAACATTTAGAATGTTTACATTTCCCTGGTATATTACACACCGTTGCTTTTTTGTAATTTACAATATAAAACATAAACATAGGTCTACTACACATACACATTTAAAAAGTACTATTACTATATTGGGACACTGGTATATGACGTTGTTATATTTCCTACAATGGAAACAAGACAGTGTTTTTTTTTTTTTTTTTTTTTTTTTTTTTTTTTTACAGTACTGTAATTATATACAAGGTAGTCGCAGTCCATGCGCCTAAAGTAAAATATTTCCACGCGCTTGGGCCTACGAGTAACCAGAGTCATATCGAGATTTGACACAAGAAAGGTCGAATAAAGGGCCTCAGTTTGGTACGTATTTAGACATAATAATTCCTCCCTAAAACACAAATAAAGTTAAGTCATCTCTTAAATTGTATCCATCTCTGTTATCGGTTGTCCTGCGTGAAAATGCTCTTTCACTCGTGTTGTTAGATGTTCATTGGCCTTAACATAGATCTGTGCCAGTATAGACGGGATTGAAACTTAGGTTATAATTATTGTAGTACTTTATTATGACATGTGTATATTGTATCGACCAGATTTATATTATTGAAATTATTGTAGTACATTATTATTAATTATTGATATTATTGTTTATATTATTACTTTTATTAATATTTTTTATAATATTAAAATTGATACCGATACCAGGAGTCCCGCACAGGGAGAGCCTCGTAGGCCACATCAATATCAATGAACCGAAAAAGTGTTAGAAAAAAAGGAGGGGAACACCGATCGAATCACCATTCATGAGATAATCGATAGTTGATATTTGGTGATCTGTTTGTACGAGTGAATGGTGTGGAGAAAGATTTACTGTGTTTGAGGTTGTATTTATGTTGGACTGATGGAGAAAGGAGGGGTTTCAGCCTGTGCTCCCCGGACTTTTGTGAAGTACTTCCTGCTCATCCCCATCAGTCAGTCCGAGAGACATTGCATCCCCCAAGAATGTCCTTCGCTTCCTCGTAGGGGACCCCTGGTAGCATGCAACCAAGCTCGTGTTCCCTGTGTTCCCTGTTGAGTTGCTTTAAGAAATAACTCATATTACACTTTTTAACAATATAATCAATGTGGCCTTGCCAAGATAAATTGACATGGATAATAATTCCCAATATTTTGGCATGACTGACCTTGTCAAGTTTTACTCTGTTTTTAACACAAGTGCTGTTAAGTTAGTTTTAACACGTTTAAAACTCACCATGAGTTCAATAGTTTTCTTCTCATTAATTACCATATCATTAATGCAGGACTATTCATATATGTTAACACATGCACTTTGCATACTCCTACAGTTATTTGAGAGGGAAAAACGATCTATGAGTTCACTAAATTCAATTTATATACAACACGAGCCTGGAGATTTTATTGTCGGCACGCGATCGTTCACATTAAAGAAGTTATATTCTTTAAAAGACTAAAACACAAGAGTAACTTTAATTTTTAAACAAAATTATTATAATTCTTTCTAATTTGTTAACTATACGTAGCGTATAATTAGAAAACGAAGCATATGTTGATTTACAATATGATGCTTGTACCGCGTCATCAAAAGGTTTGGTCATAAAGATAATTTTAACGCTCAAGTAATTATTAATAGTTTTATTAATTAACGATGTTGGAAAACAATTTCTTAAAAGCAACAATCAATTTAGTTATATCAAGTTAAAAACCATTTCCACAAATTGTGAATTTTAAATGTACAGTCGATCAAAGTTCGTAAAAGCCCAAGTTTATTTGAGCTTAAGTAATAATCGATGTCATCACAATGTACATTATAGCTCTGAGTCGCGTCCCAAGCAAGCATGGCGCGGGCCCGACGTCCACAACGGAAGCCCGAAGTCCCCGACGAAAAAAGAGGGTGTGGTCAGGCGTCGTTCAAAATCTCTCGAAAGTGTTCCAGTGGGCAAAGCCCCAGAAAACAATGACAATTTAGGGGTTGAAAGGCTTATTTAAGCGATTTTAGAGTCTACTAATATGTAGAAAATACATATATATTTTATTTCTCCCCGAGGAATTGTGCTTTTTCTCTCTGAACGGGGTCAGGCCCCCTCCACCATCTGGCGCCACTCCTGCAGAGGATATATGTCGTTTTTGTGTATTCCGCCTTTTCCTCTACGTAACAAACAAATTACTGAGTTCCACTTCTGTTATTCGATTGCTTCACAGATTCTCAACAGAGGGCGTTCCTGAAACTTTGTGTCAAGTTACAGACTAAGAGCAGCGTAATTCAACGCTGTTTAAAATAGTACTTGAGTTTCGTATTCTTTTGCAAAAAAATATACACATTGACTTTTAGAATTAGTCCACCCTATACAATGTATAGTTTTCATGATAGGTCACTATATTAACAAGTGATTGTAAAACAGAAAAAGTAATCGCTAATAACACCATATCAGCATAGCTTTTAGCTTAGATAATCTCAAAACTTTTCAATGTTAAGAGGAAGTTTGGAATCCTTTATTCTGATGCAAAGTCCACCCAATAATCAATATAGATATATTCATTTCCAGATATTTTGGTATTCCTTAAAGTGAACAATGTTCACACACAAACACACACACACACGTTATATCCTGAGGACCCTCACTAAAAACAGTCATCAGATGACCGACTGAGGACCAACATGCCGAGAACCATAAAATACGCTCGGGTTTTGCCATGTTCACAGCCACACACATGTGCTCAACCTTTTATGCATAGAGGGCGCTATTTATTTATGCACCACCATTCAAATAAATGCGCACATTTTCAAATTTTCCCGCCAGCCGAGGACCTTTACAGAAACTCTGGAAACGCGTTGTACATGCAAATCCAGCACAATGCAGCACTAGTGCTCTTAGGAACCGCAAAAATTCCTCGGGTCGTGAGTTGCCAAGTTAAAATAGGTACAATAGAAAAACACGCACACACACACATACACACATATATATATATATATATATATATATATATATATATATATATATATATAGCGAAT